GCCATAACGAACAGCAACTAATTTACCTAATTTTACCGGAGCGTAGCTACAGCCGTTGGCGGGAACGACGAGTACGGCAGCACCAACAATAAAATAAATTACTAACGAAAAACGTGATGGCCGGCACCAAGCCGCAACGGATGATGGATTCTGCCCGCATCCGCTGCCCCTCTTCCTCTTCTCCCCGCACCTTCCCCTCTTCCTCTTCGTCTCCTCTCTTTTCTTCTTCTTCTTCGTCGTTTTCGTTCTTTCGATTGTCGGGGGTGGCCTTTGTGGTCCTCCTGTGCGGCCTCTTCTTCGCGGCCGGCCCGTCGATGGTGGAGGCCCAGACGTGCGAGCCCTTCGCCCAACAGCCCTCCATCTGCGTGGCCGCAGTGCCCGTGGGTCCCACCTCGACCGTCTACGTCCAGCCCAATACCACCCAAGCCGGCGTCGCCGCCGCCGTCCAACAAACCATCAGTACTCCCTCTTCCCCCCCTTTCATTTTCGCTTTCGCTCTTTGTCTTCGTTTTCATTTTAATTAATTAATTTGTCTCGCTAAATTAATGCTCCCGGAATGTAGCACGGTCCCGTGAGCCCGGGGTTTGTCGCCCACCATCACCACCTAACACTTACGCCCATCCTCCCCCCTCCAACCGCAAACTCCAGACCAGGCTGTGGCTTTCCCCACCGCGTGTCAGGCGGCCCTGGCGGAACTCTCCTGCCTCACCAGTTTCTTCGTGTGCGAGTTCCTTACCCCCTCTCCTCCCTTTCCGCCTGTCGGTACGGTCCCCCCGCCACGCGCTATGTGCTATCCCTCTTTTTTCTGGCCACTCACCGTGTTTCTCTTTCGTTCTTCTCTTTCTTTCTTTCATTTCCCGCCCCAAGTCCCGAAGCCGGCGTGCCGCAGTGTGTGCGACGCCGTCATCAACGAATGCTCCGCCGCCTTTGCCTACGCCGGTACATCCACACATTATTGTTATTATTGTTATTATTATTGTTATTAATGCACAGCTGGCTGACGTCATCACCATCGCCGTTACCCGTGCGGCCTAATGCTAGGAATCTCGGCCGCGCTGCCCAACTGCAGCATGACGGCGAACGGGCTGCCCGTGTTCCCGGAGAATTCGTGGGTGTTCGCGCCGGGGGTGGAGGTGAACTGCAGCGTGTCGGTGACGGACCTGAGCCTCATCTTCACGGAGCCCGTGTGCGCGCCGCACTACGCGCCCAACCCGTACGAGGACGTGCCGCTGGCGTGCCTGCCCGAGTGCCCGCTGCCCTACTACAACGACGACCAGTGGGACGCGCTGTGGTACCTGTACGCCCTGTTCGGCATCCTCACCATCGTCGTCGCCATCTTCGTGCTCCCGCCCTACTTCCTCTCCCCGTCCAAGTGGCACTGGCCCCAGCAGATGAACATGTGGATCATGTTCTGCTCCGCCATGGTACGCGAGTGCGGCGTGTGCGGCGTGTGGTGTGCGGCGTGTGCGGCGACTGACGATGGGGTGATTCAGTTGGGACTGGGTAACTCGGCGCCGCTGGTGTTCTACGGCAACAACTGGCGGGACGTGGTCTGCAAGAACGCAGTGTCGGCCTCCGGCCAGACCGACAGCGCCCTCTGCACGTTCCAAGGTTTTTCAACATCAATCAGCTCATTTCGCCCCCACACGCAGCCGCTTAACACCGTCATCCGTGCGTGTGCGTGTGCGTGTGCGGTGGCGTGTGTGCCGCACCTGCGCAGCCGTGTTCCAGATCTACTGGGGTTTCGCGGGCATCCTGTGGTGGCTCTTCCTCGTGGCCAAGGTGCGTGCACCCCCCCCCGCACCATCGTGACGATCGGGTTTTCCTGACCCTAAGGTCCCCCATGTGTCTCGTCAGGCCGCCCTGCTCGTCAACGGCTTCAAGACGCACATGTGGGCTGAGATGATCTGCGCCCACGCCTACTGCTGGGGCGTCCCCTTCATCTGTACATCTTCCCCCGCGCTTTCGTGTGCGTGCGTGCGCACGCGCGGTGGTGTGTGTGCGGTCGTGCGCGGTGAGCTCACGCGCAAGTGTGCCCTTTTTGCAGCGTTGACGATGCTGCTGGCGAACGGTAAGGTGGGCTCGGGCTCGCCGCCCATTTGCAACTACCTCGTCGCCGGCGCGGGCGACGACGGCTGGTGGATCCAGAGCGTGCTCCTCATTCCCGAGGCCATCGTCCTCTTGATCGGGTGCTGCTTCATGACCGCCCTCCTCTACACCCTCATCAAGGTTCGAACCCACCACCCAATTATCACACCTCCTTGCGCCACTCGCAGCGCATACTCGAAATCATCGTCATCATCATCGTTGTTGTCGTCGTCGTCGTCGTCGTCGTCATTCTTCTGATGTTGACGGTCTCTCTGTGACATCTACAGTACGAGGGGTTCAAGGGCCTGCGGAAGAAGGGCCGTTTGTTGACGTACCTCATCTGCTTCCTCATCCCCAACGTCTACCTGGAGATCTTCTACTACGTGTCCAAGGTACAACTCTGGTGTTTTCGCTTCTTCAAGGGCTGTGGTACTGACCTGTGTATGCGATGATGATGACGATGCGTGGGCGTCCAGACGCACGACAATCGCGAGGTCGACATCGCGCGGTGGCTCACCTGCCTCGCCACGAATTACGCGACGGGACCCTGCGAGGACATTCTGTACGTGGCCTTATCATTATGACCACCGCGTCATTCTTGTGGGAGTTGGGGGGGAGGATCACCACTGACCCGTGCCTCCATTCGTTTCCTGGTGCGTGTCTCTTCATTTGTGCAACGCTGCAGCACGGCGCCCAACTACCCGGCGCAAGTAGTCAACGTGCTGCTGGTAGCCAGTGTGATCTTTTCGTACATGCTCATCTTCGGTCTCAAGCTCAGCGTCTTCCAGTGGTGGTGGGCACTCATCAAGGGCATCTGTACGCACTCGCCTTGCTTCCTAATCATCGTCGTCGTCGCAATTCTCTCCATCTGCGCTGAACACTGACACCCTATAACCCCCTATTCTTCTTCTTCAGTCACGTGCGACTTCAAGAACTTCTCGCACTGGTGGACCGACATCAGCACCAGCCAGACGTCGCGCTCCACCTCCGCCGCCTCCTAGAGCGTTGCGGCACGAACGAACAGTTCCACGTCTTCCCCTCTTTTTGTACCAACCACGCCAACGCAAATTGTATTCCATTCCAACAACGACAACCTCACTCGTGAAGTGCTTCAGGTGGGAAGAGAAATGATGAGTTTATCACGTGTGTCAAACAAGCATTAAAAAAACAACAAACACAAAAGGTAAAGAAGGAGGGCAATAGGCGAGGGTGTGCGGGGGGCTTAGTCGCACTCGGCCTCGCACTGCCCACCGGCGTAGTAGACGCCCTTCTCGGTGGCGATCGGGTAGCACCCGCGGCCGTCCCGATAGTACCAACTGCCGTCGATGTAGCGCGGGCAGCACCCGTTGCCGTCCTTCAGCTTGCCGTTGGGGCACTCCTGCTTCTTGGTCGTCGTAGTTTCCTTGCGCGTCGTGGTGGACTCCTTGGGCGTAGTTGTCGTCTCCTGCGGGGTAGTGGTGGTCTCCTTGCGCGTCGTGGTAGTCTCCTTGCGCGTCGTGGTGGTCTCCTTGGGCGTAGTCGTCGTCTCCTGCGGAGTCGTGGTGGTCTCCTTGGGCGTAGTCGTCGTTTCCTTGGGCGTCGTGGTGGTCTCCTTGGGCGTCGTGGTGGTCTCCTTGGGCGTCGTGGTGGTCTCCTTGGGCGTCGTGGTTGTCTCCTTGGGCGTCGTGGTTTGTCTCTTGGGGAGTGGTAGTGGTCTCCCGGGGTGTCGTGGTGAATTCCTTTGTCGTGGTCGACTGCATGCCACCGGGCTTCACGCAGCTGGGGTGGCAACGCTGCTCGGCCGGGCATGACTTGCCGGCCGGAGTGTAGATGCCATGTTCATCGGGATAGCACCTGCCACGACGCACCCAGGCCAACACAACAGCTTAGACTTGGCCCCCTAAGCACTGACCACATGACAGAAGAAGTAGTGGTACCCGTTGGAGTCGGCGTAGTAGATGCTGTGGTTGATCTCCCGGGGGTAGCACTGGTTGTTGGAGTCGCGGTAGTAGGGGCTGCCCCGGATGATCAGCGGACAGCAGCCCGAGCCGTCGGGCCAGAAGCCGCCCTGGCACGGTCCCTGGTCGGCCAGAGCCGTCGCAGCCACCATGACCAGGAGGCCCACCATGGCCGCCGTCATAAAGAGCCTTGAAGTCATCGCCGTTGTTGTCGTTGTCGTGAGGTTGAAGCAAATTAATGGCTTGGTGAGATGAGGAGAGGCTGGTTTTATGGGAGTGTCCTGTCAGATCAGCTGATAGGTACCAGAGTTACAGGACCCGGCCCAAAGACACCGAGTTCTGATGAAAACGACCCCAGCACGAGGGGTGCACGGCAGTGGTTCGTACCAGCCAACGCAACACACGGGGATTGTCCACGCGGATTACGCTGGCTCGGCACGTAGAGGGGCGCGTGGGGTGGACCATAAAAGGAGGAACCTTGTCCTGGTGCGCGATATGTACGCAGTTCGAACTCCACCAAATCCTCGACGCGCTTGGGCCTCGTCCCCCCTCCCCAAAGCTTACGCGCCACCACGCGAAAGTGGAGGCCTCCGCGTTCAGCCGGAACTCATCCCCGTTGCTGCACCACAGCCACCGGCCCGTGGGTGCTTCAAAGTTGAAGGTCCCAGGCCAATGAAGGGAAAGGGTCAGAGCGGTGGGAAGTCCGGAGTCACGCAGCGCTTCTGGGGACATCGAAAGGGTACCTTTGGGTAGGGGGCGCGTTTAGATGAGGTCGTGCTGCGGATTCGCTGGAATTTCGCTCCAATCGAACTCATTTTAAAGTTGGGCGGCAATTGGTGTGCTCCACGCCTCATCCCGGCCGACAATCGCGGCCATCTCCCCCTGCGTCGAGCGCCCACCTGTGCTCAAACTGCAGCCATCACCAGCACCGCTATCATAACCGCCACGACCCGAGGTTGTACGAACGCGCTCACCAGCCACGACTACATCACACAACACACAGACGACCAGCATGTTGGTGAGCCACAGAGGTCAGCAGTTGACAAAGACAAAGGAGGAGTACGACGACGACAATGAAGGCACGATCACCACGACTTCGTGCCGCGGAGGACAGGAGGTCAGTTACCGTCGTCGTCATGGGCACGACGACCGCTGGTTCTGCGACGAGCGCGACGAGCAGGACCAGGACCACGAGACCGAGCGGGAGGTGGCCTTCGCCGATGAGCTACCGCGCCGCGCGCGAGGCGACCTCCACCGGGCCACCGGCGGCAGCAGCGGCCTCGACTCGAAGATAGGCGACCTCGACCGCCGCATGTCCCGCCTGGCCGCCCCACTTCGCCCTCTGCAGGATCAGCCAATCCACCGACGCAGCCGCAGCCGCAGCTGTGCTGCACGGGCGAGGGAGACGAGAGCGGGGAGGAGAGGCGCCGCTCGCCCGTCTCGTCGTTCACGGCTGTGGTCGACATCACCACTTCCACGTCTTCATCGTCGTCGTCGTCGGCCGCTCGGCTTCCGCTTGTGGCTGAAAGAGAAGACGACGAGCAAGTGCACGCCGCGGCCCTGGAGCAGGACCAGTCTGAACAAGACGTGGAAGAAGACGAAGAGGAGGAGGAAGAAGAGAATGAAGAGGATGATGAAGAGGCAGAGCTGGTCGAGGTCGACGAAGACGAAGCCGAGCGCGCAGAGGAGGTGGCCGAGGAGCTAGCCGCCTTCGACGCTGCGACCGAGCATCTGCTTCACCTTCTCGACGAGCTCCGCGACGACAACGGCCGGTATCGGTACAGGCGGGGTCAAGTGGTAGCCGTGGCGGGCGGGGTGCGCACCCTCAAGCAGCGCGTGGAGGACTTCGCCGAG